CTTTGAGCCTTTTATTTTTCAAAAATCTTGTACCTAATGTGGGGGAGGTACCAGAAAGAATGGTCCGATCTCCACCATTTTTATAACAGATCTTGTGTTAATAAAAATATTGAGATGTACCAAGTTTGAGTGGAATCGGATACCAAGTTTGAGTGGAATCGGAGTGGAATTTTGTCTTTTATAAGCATCATGGATATTTTGACCCTTTGAGGGGGAGGTACCAGAAAGAGTGGACCTATATATTCCATCTTCACAGCATATCTTGTATTAGTAGAAATAATGGGATGTGTGAAATTTGAAAAGAACTGGATGCTTATTTAGCATTTTATGATCGTTTTGGTTATTCAAAATGTTAACCCTTAGTGGGGGACTTACCTGAAGGAATGGTCCTATCTCTAGCACCTCTATAAAAGATCTTGTGTTGATGAAAATATTGAGATGTACCAAGTCTGAGTGGAATCGGATATTAATTTCGCGTTGTATGAGCTTAATTGACAATTTGGCCTTTGTGGGGGAGGTACCAGAAGCAGTGGACCTTTATATCCCATCTTCACACCAGACCTTTGGTTAATAAAAATATTGTGATGTGTGAAATTAAAAGATAACCGGATTCTCATTTTGGATTTTATAATCGTTTTGGTTATTCAAAATGTTAAACCTTTGTGTGGGGAGGTACCAGAAGGAGTAGTCCGATCTCTAGCATCTTTATAACAGATCTTGTGTTGATGGAAATATTGCGATGTGCTAAGTAGGAATGGAATCGGATGTTAATTTCTCATTTTATGAGCTTTATTGATAATCAAAATTTTGACCCTTTGTGGGGGAGGTACCAGTGGACCGATATATTCCATCTTCGCAGCAGATCTTTTGTTAATAGAAATAATGAGATGTGTGTAATTTGAAGACAATCGGACACTTACATCACATTTTATAAGAGTTATTTTTATTAAAAATGTTGACCCTTTATGGGGGAGGTACTTGATGAAGTGAAAGCGGAATAGGAGTATGCTTTCTTCTTCTGTGCAGTAAAATATTTTCTTTGAAAATTTCGACCCTTTGTGGGGGAGGTACTTAATGGAGTACACCGATATTGTCCATTTTCGCACCTGTCCTAGCAGTGATGCATATATTAGGATATGCAAAGTTGGAGCAAAATCAGGTTATCCTTTCTCTTTCTGGGCAGTAAATTATTTTCTTTGAAAAGGGGGACATTTTGTAGGAGGTACCAGAAGTAGTGGATCGATATTGTCCATCTCCGAACTCGATCTTAGTTTGACAATAATATTACGATGTACCAAGTAGCTAGATCGACTCCAAATGTCTTGAAACGGATTTAATCCAAAGAGACCTACGGTCTAAAACCGTTATTTCAATGAGGCACGTTTTGGCCGTATCAAATAAGCCTTCTCTAGCCATATGGGTGAGGGTATAAAAATGTCTATTTTTATCGTAACTCAATCACTGCAAATGCAAAAGGGAGGTATGCAATCGTTAAATAATAGTTTTAATGATTAATAGCAGCACTTAACAAGGTTCTATGTTTCCAGTTAAATGCCTCAGTTATGAATGATTCATCGGATATAAAAATACAATACATGATTGAATTCTGCGGAAGAAAACAATACCTAATAAGCGTAAGAAACTTTCAAATATTTACATGTGATTGGTGGGAAGTATTTTCATTAAAAAATCTTATACACTCTTTTAAATGTTACACCCTTTCAAGAGAATTAAAAAAGTCACATTAATATTTAAACAAACAGGGAAGTACCAAACTCAAAATCATTAACAAAAAAGAAAATCAAAAACCAATTATGAATCATTCCAATTAAACGATACATTCGACAGACAATGTCAATCCCACTGAACAATAAACAAGATTTGACTTGACTTTACCTGGGTAATTTTCGTTCGAGCAAAGGCGATGACAACACCAACAATAAACAGCAATGCTGTCTGTTTGCATTCATACCTGCTGCTGCTGTGTGCAGCAGACATGCCAAATCAAGTAAACAAATGCAAACAACACCCTATTTGTAATCGGTGTTTAAAGAATGTCATCATTAACACGATAATGAGGATTTATATCTTATTTTTATCGCTCTTATCGGTCAGCTAAGACAAATGCCTGATTTTTTTAATAAACCGGTTTTTATGTGGAAGCAAATAATGCAATTTTTCCCAAGTCAAGCAAACACAAGTGGAAGAAAATGGGGAACTGGCCGTTTTTAGAAAAATTAAAAAAGAAAACAAATCCAAGAAAAATTCCAAGCCCGCTTGAATTTTGGGAAGGGGTGCATATAAATCTGTTAATCAGATTCGTATCCTCCGCTGTGAAATAACGATCGCTTTGATCGAGTATGCGATTGATTATCGCTTCTGTGTAGTTTGGGAAGTGAGTGCTGGCTACCAAATTAGGAGCATCTAGACCGGAATATGTTCACGGTTTGAATAACAAGGAGAGGCTTTTAGCAATCCTATAGATGATGATGGGAGAACAACGTTGCAGTTTTTATCTCCCACCTACCAAATAGCCTATATCTCCTGTTTAATAAGATGGAATATCTCCATAGTATGTGTTCAATCGTCCCTACATTTTGTTCATTCTCACTTAGCCTACAATAGTCGACACGTCTGTTATCCAATTTTCAGATCTGATACTGCAGTGGTCAGTCAATGTATTTATCCTGTTAATTTTAAGAAGGTCGCTGGTTCTTTTTCTCCAGATTACATCGGTCACATAGCCTCAGATGCCTTGCAACCAGCTTCCAAGTGCCATATCATGATCGCTTCTTTGATGAGAGCCTGTTTGAAGCAATTAACATAGCTTTCATGCAATCAAAACACATATTGTCAAAATACCGAATATCGATGGGTATCGGTATATGTGCGCTATAGGAAAACGAGGACATAAATATTCACTGTTCTGGCACCAGATTTGGGATACATTCTGAACTACAACTACCAATTTTTAGGCAAATCCACGGAAGAATGTGGCAAAAATCATAAAAATACCGAATATCTGGAGGTACCGTTACATGGGGCTATACAAAAACGTGGACCTATACATGCAATGTTTCGGTACAGGAGTTAGAACCCATTATGAACTACATATACCAATTTTTAAAACAAATCCGTAAAAAATGTTGCAAGAATCATCAAAATACCGAATATCGGGAGGTAACATTATATGGCGGCTATACCTAAACGTGGACCGATATATCTCGTTTTGCAAAACCCGGATACAGCCCTTCGTCAAATATTGTGGGCTGTATCCGGAATATTTGGAGATACCGTTACATGGGGGCTATAAAAAAAACGTGGACCTATACATACAATGTTTCGCCAACGGAACTAGAACCCATTATGACCCATAAATACCCATTTTTAGACAAATCCGTGGGAAAATATGGGGAAAATAATCAAAATACCGAATATCCGGAGGTACCGTTATGTGGCGGCTATACCAAACCGTGGACCGACTTATCTTGTTTTCAATACCAACCATCCTAGACACAACACAAATTGTTCTGCCAAATTTTGAAGTTCTATGTCAAATAATGTGGAGTTCAAGACCCGGACTAGACCAGGATTCACTTACCCGATATAGACAATATGGGAACCAGAAAAGGTATTAGCACAAATTGTAGCATTTCGGAAAGGTAAGAGTATCAGCTATAATTTGCCATCCGTTTTGTTGACCCCCATAATGGTCCCTTTTTCGACTTTTTGGGGATTTTATAAAAAATGGGGTCCAAATAATAAATAATTTGACCATAACTTCCCAACCGCTTATAAATAACCCATTCCACCCATAGACACTTGTTGGATAGGTATGTTCAAATGATACCTATATTGTCTATATCGGGTAAGTGGATCCGGGCGTGGGACTTTCGGGTCAAAAATCTGGGTTCCTAGGTCCGTCTCCCAAAAAAAACATAGTTTCGGACCGGAAACTAGACTTTTCCAAAAAATATATCAATGATTTAAGTTTCATCGCCCCTTCATCTTCAATTTCAATAGTTTAATCATTGTTACTTCAACTCCATTCATAACTTACTCAATTCACATTGGCGGCCTTTTACGCAAAAGTTGTCGAGCCCGATAAAACAAACCAATTAATTGTCGTCATTCAATTGTGAAGTTCTCAAATTTCTTCTTTTTGGTTCAAAAATAATTATTTTCAATGGAGAAACGTTTGCCCTGGGGTTAAAATCTAAATTATTCAATAATTAAACGATAACATTTAACGGTTTTCTATTAACAAATGCAACAACGACCGACCTATTTGTTTCGTTTCGTTTCGATATGTGTGCATGATGATGGTCGCAGCACTGCAACGTGTATGTATATGTGCTTATAACAACAACAACAAAAAGATTGATTCCACAATGCCAATCAGCTGTTTCGTTCGTATGGTGGATGGGGGGGACGACGAAACGATACAAAATACACTGTAACGATGTCAACGAGACGAGAACAGAACAGAACGGCGGGTATGTATGTACCTGTTGGTGGGGTGTCGCGAGGGGGGATGTAGAGAATGAAATGTTGACGATGAGAGGAGTATGACTCGAAAAAATCAAGATATAGGTATTTCCCAAAAACAACAGTAACGGGGAGTGGTCAACGGCAGGCGGAGTACAATGGATATTTGTTTAAGAAAATATTATTCTTCAGTATTATTCTTAATAATGGTTCCGAGTGCAAAACAAAAAAACAGCAAGTGACCACACAGCACACGAAACGAAACTTCATTTCTTTGCACATTTTTCTTTTTCTACATGAAATGAATACCTGACGACACGAGTAGTAATCATCCAGAACTTTTGTTAAGCCCGAAAGGTAATTAACCTCCAATTCAACTCCGAAAGATGGAAAAAATGTAGGTATATTATTACAAAGGCATTAAGGCCATTTTTATCCACATGAATTTATATTTGCTTGCTTTTTCTCATTGTTAATTCACAAAAACGCACACACACACAAATAATATTTACCTTTTTTTTGCTATTTTATTGTGAAGAAATTTTGTTTATCAACTTGGCTTTTGTAATATATGTATATACTTTGGTATTTCTTTTATTTATTTATTACATATATTTTACACTAAACGCATACTTATATCGTGCTTTCAACTCTTTTACACATTTCTTATCATTATGTTTTGTAACAACACATAACTTTGCGGTTTTTTCTCGTTATATTTAATTAACTTTTATTTTCTCGAATATTTTTTTTATTAATACCTTTCGTCGTTTCTTCTTTTGTTGTATTTTTTCAGCAAGTACAACGTAAAACGCGTCCGACCGCCACGAATTTCCAATTATTAATATTAAAAAAATATAATTCCAAATGAAACATCAAATTTGGTCTGACACACAATTGATAGTTCTATCGATATTTTGTTTCTTTTTTAAAGGAAGTCGATAGATAGCTACTATCGATGATGTCAGTGCGCACAATTATTACCATGTTCATACGGGAGTTATTTTGTACGTCTGGGATCCCCATTTAATTTCTCGAATACGGTGGAATTTTCTCTGTTCCAGTACTGTAAGAATGTAATGCTATGATCTCATTGCACTTTTAATCATGTTGTTCGCTAATTCATAGTAAAATATCTCTTTTTTTTTCAAAAATTTTGTTTGTTGGTTTTAATGGGAGTTTATACAAAAATACATGAAATTCTCACTAATATGAATAGAAGAAATTATTATTTTTCTCCAAAAGATTTATTATATTATTAATTTTACCATTTTCATTCATGTTTTCAACTTTTTGTGTAAATGATGACATTTTGAACATATTCTTGTATTTTTCCATTTTTAAATACTGCTGGAGAGACACTTGTCAAACATTTTTCTGTCGATACAAACATTTTTAAAAGTATTGATTCTTGTTTGTTAAGGATGACACACATTCATGGCAGAAGAATACAGGTAGATGCATCAACGCTTGGAAGCATTGATATGTCAAAAAAAATTTAAATGTTTTTTCAAATATAAGTAGATTTTTATATGTTTTCTTATACTACGTCATTCGGAGCCTACTATAATTCGCGTTTTTCAAAAGTTTTTACAAATTTAAATAATTTTTCATTCAACATTTTCAATTCCACAATTGGTTTGACAGTTCATTGTCCCAGCAGCTGTGTCGACGCGTCTACCTATATTCTTCTACCATGCACACATTTCATCTTTGTTCTGAGAGTGATTTGAATGGAACAAAGAACAAACATCTTTGTTCGCTCAGCAAATTTTGTGTGGGGAATTAAGTAGATTAATTAATGGTGGAACAAGGAATCACGTGCAAAGTGAACTTAGCATTACCTCTCTATGGTACCATGATAGTTTCAAAGTATTTCAATTTTTATCGAAAACAATGCACACATATACAAATTGTGAATGTTTGACAGAATGGGGGCACTGAAAGAAAAAAATTGTATTTACCTTCTGTAATTATGTCATGGTACCATGGCAGAAGAATACAGGTGGATGCATCAACGCTTGGGAGCATTGATATGTCAAAAAAATTTAAATGTTTTTTTCAAATATAGGTAGATTTTTATATGTTTTCTTATACGATATGATTCGGAGGTTATTCTAATTTGTGTTTTTCAACAATTTTTACAAATATAAATAAATTTTCCTTCAACATTTTTATTCTTCAACCATGGTTGGTACGATACCCTTCTTTCTTTCAGGCAAACTTTTTACAAGTGTAGTCCCAATTCATGCTCTATTCTTGTTATCAATTTGCTAGGCGTAGCACAAAGTACATGCACCAAGAAGAAGCATTTGTTTTGGCGGAAAATAATTTGACTAAGGAACGATGTGAAGAGAGGAACATAAAACAGAACTGAACGCAAAAGATCACTTTGAAACCCCACACAGATAAATATAAAAATTTAATTTTAATAAAATAATAAATGCTGCCTATTTGTTGATTGCCTTATATCGAAGAACAATGGATGATCCTGTCTTTAAGCAAAAATATCAGAAATACAAGCTAAGAGTAAAGTTATGGGAAAAAGATTTCAAGAAGAAACATGGAAGAGTGCCTTCAAAGGTTTGTTACCTATATTCACGGTAATACTTTGTTCCAGTATTAAATAATTTTGTATATATTTCTCTCAGTATGATATCCGGGAAGCCTCTCAGGAGATAAGAGATTCTTACAAAATGTACTACAAATTGAAAACATCGTTTTTGGAAGACACCCTCAACGATGTTTTATCGGATGATGGTTTTGATGTTCTAGAAATGTCACAGATGTCACAAACCAATGGTGATCTCGACGTCAGCCTAACGGAGGAAAGCATCAATGGTGGACCCAAGTTGCCCTTGGATATAAGTGCCATTGTGGACACGCAACCTGTGGATAACCATGAAAACTGCAACGGTTTCTCCAATGTCCAGGAAATACCAAATGGTTCAGCCGTCTTTAATGAGCCCCGTGTGCTAAAGGAGTTTGAGGCCGTGGAAGAGTTGGATTTAAACAAAAAGGCTTGGGGTGCAAAGGTATCTATGAAACCGGAAAAGCCTGAATTAAAAGACGAAAAGAAAGATACTCCTCGACGGAGTCTTAAGCCAAATTTTAGTGCAAAGCTTTTGAACAATTCTTCCTTCTCCAAAAGGAATCCCAGAAAATCAGTTTCAAAATCAAATCTTGATAGTTCGTTAAGAAGCAACAACTCCACGTTAAGTGACACTTTAAATTCTACTAAAGATGTCCTGCCTGATTTGGAAACAATTTTACTGCAAAAGGCCAAGGAGCAGCAGGCCCAGAATAATATCAATGCAAATCCCCTTTTGGCAGTTGACAAGAACAGGGACAACATTAAAACCCAAGTAGACGAAGGATGGCTTGAGCGAAATGCCCAGCAAAATGGAATTGCTGGCAAAACCAGAAGAAGCACAATAAAGATTGAGCAGAACAACAATTTACCAACTCCTCCACGGAAAAGCATCTATGGATTATCTAATATTGATGTTAGTAAATTGCAAACAACTGTTGCTACGGCAGACAGTCAAGACGAACCAAACAAAACGCAATTGAAGAACTTGGAAACGCCGCCTGTTATTGGTTGTGCAGATGAAAAACCCCATTTCCAAGAAAAACCCGTCGAGAAAAATAGGAAAGTTGACAAAAAGGTTTCTAACGATTCAGACTCGGATTCGGTTGTGGGAGACAGTGAGGAGGAAGTTGAACCCCCGGAATATCGACATATTGTAAAACGTAGAAGAATCGTACCCTCAACCTCTCCAAAAGCGGAAGTAACAGCCCCGACCGAGGCTCCCAAGAAAAAAACCACAGATATTGTAAAGGATGAAATTAAACCTCAAGGAACTACAGAACCCTTAGAACATTCTGATGAGGGTGAAGACTTTGATGCTGCCTCGGATGAGGATGAAGAGTATAAACAACCAGAAGTCAGCCGGCGAAAACGAGCAGTGGCTAAACGCAAGACCGCAGCGAAACCCAAGAAGTCATCACCAAAAGAAAAACCCAAACCAAAAGCTAAAACTGCTACAGCCAAGACCAGAGGGGCAAAGAAGGCTACCAAAGAACAACTAAAGCAGCAGCAGCAGGAGGAGGAGTTGGAGAAGGAGGAAACTCCACTTGATCCGGTGGACCTGAAATATGCTCTTGCCCTAGAAAGTGGTGATATCACATCTGTGCCACGTATCAAACAAACTGATCTAGACAAAGCAGATCACTTGGCTCAGGAATATATTAATAAAATGGTTCCCTTAGGTGGTGTTAGTAATAAGCCAATACCCGTTACCGTGGCCGATGAAAAGAGAGCGGCAGCTAAGCGCAAGCTAGAAGAAAAGATAGCCAGTGGCAAGCTAAATGAGAACTTTGTTACGATCAATATACAAAAGAAAACTTTCGTACGTGGCAAAAAGACCATCAACTATTCGAAATATAAGAAAAAGTTGTGGAAGGATAAGAAACGTGTGGCTGCATTAACGGGACCCAATATGGATATGGGCGGCTGTGATGGTGGCACATTGAAATGTTTCACCTGTGGTCAAGCTGGACATTTTGCTCAAAATTGCAAAGTTAAGGGGGACTCCTTGCTGCCCTTGACTGCTCAGCTGGAGGAAGATCCATCACCGTTTCCCACATTGGAGGAAGCTGAACGTATGGCAAGTCAATCGGCATTGGCGGTACATAGCAGAAATATATCCAAATTGCCACAGGCAGCCAATGCGGCAATATATAAAAACGATGGCCTTGCGGAGGAGGACAGTGGTGATGCAGAAGGTGATGGGGAGGAGGTATGTAAACATTGTTTAAATATTTTCAATGACCGTGATAATAGCCTTTATTTTTTAGGAAGAAGTTGCCACGGATGAAAACAGCGATGACGATGGGGACAATGATCCTGCTGCTGAAGACGTTCTCATGGAGACTGATGATGAATTGGAGGGTTTTGATATGGACAATGCCATCAATGCAAAGGAAAAAAACATTTCACCCATAAAAAAATATGTTGGCCATAAAATTCCTGAATCATTTCTTAAGGCTGCTGGCCTGGATGTAAATGACGCAACAGACTCGGGCTCGTCGGCAAATGTACCAGCTAAAATGGGTGATGTTAGTCCCATTTATGATCTCAATCCTGATGGTAGTGTCAAAGAAGTCACACCCGAGGTATTGGAAGTCTTGCGTATGTTTGGCCACACAAACTTTCGCAAGGGCCAGGATCGCGCAGTTATGCGTATACTTTCGGGAATGTCCACATTGGTCACCCTATCCACGGGCAGTGGTAAATCTCTGTGTTATCAATTGCCGGCCTATATGTTTTCCAAACAAAAGAAAGCCATTACATTGGTTATTTCACCTTTGGTCTCTCTGATGGAGGATCAGGTCACGGGGGTGCCGCATTTTTTGAGGGCCCATTGTTTGCACACGAATCAGACACCACAGCAGAGAATGAAAACTATGCAGCTCATTGCAGATGGGGAGATTGATGTGCTGCTTGTATCCCCAGAGGCCGTGGTCTCGGGGGAACGATCTACTGGATTTGGTTCAATTTTGCGGCAATTACCACCAATTGCATTTGCCTGTATCGATGAGGCCCATTGTGTCTCCCAATGGAGTCATAATTTCCGTCCCAGCTATTTGATGATCTGCAAGGTATTGAAGAAAAATCTGGGGGTAAAGTGTGTTTTGGGTCTCACGGCCACCGCCACTTTGCCCACACGTCTAAGTATTATCAATCATTTGGGTATATTGGATGGTGAGAAGGGCATCATCAGCGACATACCATTGCCCGACAATTTAATACTTTCCGTGTCCAAGGATGAAAATCGTGATACGGCACTACTGCAATTGCTACTAAGTAAACGTTTCGAAAGCTGTCAATCGATTATTATCTACTGCACCAGACGAGATGAATGTGAACGTGTAGCGGGTTTCTTGCGTACATGTTTGCAGGATCGCAAAATTGCAGAGCCGGAAAAGAAAAACAAACGGAAACGTGTCAATTGGCATGCGGAGCCGTATCATGCCGGTATGGCTGCCTCGCGACGACGGACAATACAAAATGCCTTTATGAACAATGAGTTGCGTATTGTTGTGGCCACCATTGCCTTTGGTATGGGTATTAATAAGCCCGACATTAGAGCCGTTATTCACTATAATATGCCACGTAACTTTGAAAGTTATGTCCAAGAGGTGGGTCGTGCTGGTCGCGACAATAAAGAGTCACATTGTCATTTGTTTTTGGATGCCAATGGTGGGGACAAGAGCGAATTGAAGCGTCATATCTATGCGAATTCATTGGATCGTCATGTTATACGCAAATTGTTGCAGAGAATTTTCGTGCCTTGTTCGTGTGATAAGAATCTTAAGGAGTGAGTATGAGCGAAGATATGTAGACTATAATGATCGGACAATAGTTGATTTTTATGCCCCACACATAGTGGCAAGCGAGATAGACCCATACGTACTTTTGAGGATCTTCATAGAATCACTTTCTGAGTCGATTTATGCATGTCAGTCCGTCTGTCCATGTATTCTTGTGAACAAAATGCAGTTCGCATTTATTATCCGATTGAGATGAAATTTTCCAAACAATATTTGTTTGGCCTAAGGACGAACCCTATTGAAATTGGTGATAATCGGATCAGATTTAGATATTGCCCCCATATATATCTTCAACCGATTTCGGGTTAATTGTGCACCAAATGTCCAATATAAGTCCAGTTGACCTGAATTTTGGCACATCCGACCAGATTCAGTCTAGAAGCAACTACATTACATATGGTGAAATTCGGTGCAGATATACCTATAGCTCCCATACATAAATTTCATACGATTTGGTGTTTAAGTCCCCCACATTCATAATATGCACTCCACAACAATGATCTTTGGTACCAGATTTCAGATACAGCCCAGAAATACCTCTGCCAAATTTTATCAAAATCGATTCAAATTTGGATATAGCTCCCATATATATCTTCAACCGATTTCGGGTTATTTGTTCACCTAATGGCTTATATCAGTCTAAATGACCAGAATTTTGGCACATCCGACAGAATTTAGTTTAGAAGCAAGAACATCGAATTCGGGGAAAATCGGTTCAGATACAGCTATAGCTCTCATATATAGGTCTCATCCGATTTGGTGTTTAAGTCCCCCACATTCGTAATATGAACCGCACAAGAATGATATTTGGTACCAGATATCAGATACAGCCCAGAAATACCTCTGCCAAATTTTATCAAAATCGGTTCAGATTTGGATATAGCTCCCACATATATCTTCAACCGTTTTCGGGTTAATTGTGCACCAAATGGTCAATATCTGTCCAAAAGTCCTGAATTTTAGCACATCAGTTTAGAAGCCAGAACATCGAATTTGGTGAAAATCGGTTCAGATATAGCTATAGCTCCCATATATATGTTTCATCCGATTTGGTGTTTAAGTGCCTCACATTCGTAATATGCACTCGATAACAATTATGTTTGGTACCAGATATCTTATAGAGCTCGGAAATACCTCTTCCAAATTTTATCAAGATCGGTTCAGATTTGGATTTAGCTGTTTTTTATCTTTTTTAATTCTATTTTTTAAATTCCATTTTTTTTAATTTTCTAGTGGTGTCCCCATAAAGCCTTTAGCAACATCCTCAAAAAATTCCCAATCGGATGATGGCAATGTGGATGCCTCGAATTTTGGCAATATGCATGGTGAAACAGATGTCGATGTACCAAAACCCCGCCACCACATTTGTCCAGGTCATGAAATTGGATTTTCCATTGACCAGACCGTAGAGGCATTGGATATTCCAGCTGAAAACATCTCGACATTGCTGTGTTACATGGAATTGGACAATCGTTGGTCTATGCATGTGCTCAGCAGTGCCTATATTAAGGCCAAAATTATATCCTATGGTGGACCCAAGTACCTCAAGTAAGTTATAAATTGAAGACATTCCTTAGAAGTCAGCTAATTTATTTGCCGTAGGCATGCAGCAAAGGAGTGTCCCCCCTTGGCCATGGCCATTGCCTTGGAAATTAAAAATGGCAACTTTAAAGAAGATGCCAATATCATAGAATTCTCGGTGGTGGATATAGCAGCAGCAATTGGTTGGAACAGTGGTGTGGTGAAATATCAATTGAAAAATCTAGAATGGGTGCAAGGTAGGGTGTTTTTGTGGATTTCGATTCAAATTATTTCGTTAAATTGTTTATCTTTCCCAAAGTTAATGGCTATCCAAAACGATCTCCCATAACTGTAAGTTTCTATGATTTGGGTTTCCGTTTAAAGGCACCCGGAGACTTTACAATCGAAGAAATTGATGATGCCTTGGATATTTTGTATAATAGATGTGTGAAACAGGAAAGGACCCAGCTAATTCAGGTATGTGTTTGAGGTATATAAATTTCCAAGGAATAATCTAATTTCCCCCCACTTCAGTTGCAATATGTTTTCCAAGGCTTATCTTCGGTGGCCTACAACAGTCATGTGCCGTGCTGCAGTGAAAACTTCTCACACGACAGATCCGATCAGCTGAAGGCCATTATACGTGACTATTTCCGCAATGATTATCCCAAAGATTTGAAATTGGAAGTAGAGGTAATTATGTCTGTTTTAATTGTTGTCAATTTTATAACAAATCGTTTCATTTTCAGGAATCAAATGTCTCGGATGGTGACATAGAGTCGGATGTTATTGCCCTTATCAACATGTATCCGGAAAATAATTTCACTGGGCGCAATGTGGCCCGTATATTCCATGGCATTTCAAGTCCCAATTATCCAGCTGTTATGTGGGCCCGTTGTAAATTTTGGCGCGCCCATTCAAAGACTGATTTTAATCGTATTGTACAATTGGCCAATAGTGTTATTGTCAAGAGGCGCATGTAAAGGGAGTTGCTTTAACAAACAAGTCATTATTTAGTTTTGTTCCTTCGCCGTGTCCTCGTCATATGTGTAGCTTATTTGAGATTTTATGTGTGAGCGTGTGATTTTTTAATTGTTATTTTATGTTAAACGAACGTTTTTTAAGCCAAGTTCCTAGGAATTATCCAAGGCTTTGGTCGCAATTGTACATGTATTTATTCGTAATAAAAAAATTATATTCATATTGTACAATTGTATGTGATATGATTTTGTCGCAGCATTCCTGATTCCTGTTGCAAAAGAGGCCAAAAATAGCTGAAGAGATGGTAACATCATGGAGTAGTTGGACATTTTGAGAACCATATATATCAACAACTTGAACTTCCAATCGCAAGCAGATATTGAGAAATTACAGGTGCCGTTAATAATTTCAAACTGGAATTCAATAATTCTTTAAAAACAAGACAATTCTAATAATTTACGGAATAGTTGCAAAAAGAGGTCATCTGAGCTAAAAAAAAGTTCTGTGATGGTTTGGATGACAGCGGCAGATAAAAAAGATAATAGGACATGTCCAGTGTTACGACTCTTGACTGCAGCAGCATTAAAAGGGATGGAACGCGTAATTCATATGAGCTACCTAGACCTTGCTATTAGCTTAGACTTACAGATTAAAGTAGGAGGTGTGCTTTACCCACTGCCCCATATATTAAATAAATATTGTGTATTATGAGGATACGCCTAGCCTCAACGAAAATGCCAAGTTCAAAATTGAATTTTTGCTTCCAGGATGTGAACAATGATCTAGCTTTTTCGTAGAATTGAGAAAATGTAATAATGGATCCAAATTTGTGTGGATTTAAAATGTAAAACAGAACTGTAAATTGCCAGCTTTTCAGTCCACATTTTTATGCTAACGATAACCCTAAATATTCAAGAATTGTATTCTGTGAGGATAGCTAAGCAATGTCAAATTAGAAATTCACTTCGTGCCTTCAACGGATTTCGTGGGAGACAGTTAGAGTTTGAGATATCGAAAGAAATAAATAATTTTATCCGTCTCAAAATGTCAGCACCTGGCACCAGAAGAGTCGATGGGCCGGTATTTATTTCGTTTTAAATATGAAATGATTGTACCAACATCTAGTGTATCTTCAGATATTCTGGTTAATATCAGAGCTGAGGTTTGCCCGTATTTACTTGTGAGAAAAGCGCAGAACAAGGGGGCGGGTAAATTTTGTGTATGACGAAAACTAAAAGAGTGCCTGGAAGGAGTAGACTCTGCTCTGTTTCCAGCGAAATTTGCTTCTGCCCGAAAACGAGCAAAGCAAGCTACTTTTATTTGAGCGACGCTGGAAAAAAGAATATTCTCGATTTGTTTTCTATTCCCAGGGGTGCTCCCTCCCAAGCTGGATCGATTTTTACCCTTTATTGAAATTCGAGCAAGTATTTCGGTGGTCGCGAGAAAGTGGAAAAACGGATTTGTCTTTTTATACCCTACACCACATAGCATTTGTTTGTAACATGAAGAAGGAAGCGAGATAGATCCATAGTTAATTTTGGGGATCTTCACAGAATCACTTTCTGTGTCGATTTATACATGTCAGTCCGCCCGTCCATGTATTCTTGTGTACAAAATTCAGGTCGCATTTATTATCCGATTGAGATGAAATTTTCCAAACAATAATTGTTTGGTCCAAGGACTAACCCTATTGAAATTGGTGATAGTCGGATCAGATTAAGATATAGCTCCCATATATCTTCAAGTCCAAATGACCTGAATTTTGGTACATCGCACAGAAGTACATTGGGGGGTTCAAATCCCTCACATGCGTAATATGTACTCCACAAGGATGATATTTGGTACCGGACATCACATACTGCTCGAAAATACGTGTGAAAATTTTATCGGGATCGGTTCAGATTTGGATATAGCACCCATATATATTTTTATTCGATATCAGGGTTATTGTGCACCAAATAGCTAATATCAGACCGAGTTGGTTAAATTTTTAGCAATTCCGACTGAATTCTTCCTAGAAACCAGTACTTCAAATTTGGTGACAATCGCTTCAGATATAGCAATAGCTCTCATATATAAGTTTTATGCGATTTGGTCTTTAAGTCCCTCACCTTCGTAATATAGACTCCTATTTATATATATGAACCTAGAAAAGATGCTATTTTTGCTGTTCAGATCAAATTGTGACAGTTTTCAAAAATTGGCAGCTCTCCGAGAAATCATTTTCTTATTACTGACCTTGTTTCCAAAAACGAGTGTTCTATCTTTCGAAATGAAAAGTAACGTGAATTTCGGCGATGGTCTGATGTATCTTCAGCTCCAGCAAATCGTTAGAAAAGAAAGAGGTACATCACTGCTAGATCTCTCACCTAATATGCCTTCGTTGATTCTGAGCCCCTCTACCAAAATACCAAATAAAGATTTATTTTCATATCAACAATTGTTTTTTTTTCGTATGTTTTATTAGATTTGAAAAAAAAAAGAACACTGAAATCTTTGTCCTGATGATTTCAATAATTTTCCGAAAACAAAACACAAAATCAAAATTTAGACGTTGCTAAGTTGTGTTCCTTTTTTTCGTTTGTTTGGATTTTGACGAAAGAAACCAAACAAAAACAAAACATGATGATCATTCGATATAAAACTATTACAAATTAGATGTCTAAACAATTCAAATAACACTATGATGGCATGATGATAATGTCTTGTAGGTCTTGTAGATCATACATTGTATTTGTATGAGTTATGGTTCAAAGCTAAATTAAAGGAGAAAGGGAGGGAAGAACGAAAACGTAAAGTACAATTACAGGCATAACGTTAGGTAGTTAGAAGTTATAGACCATTTGTTGTTGTTTGTGGTTCTGTTTTTTTTTTTTTGGGCACTATGAAACTAAACTTTATTAAAAAATACAATATGTATACATGCATGCGCGTGTGTTCTGTTCTTTTTTCTTTTTATTTCGGCATTACTCAAAACGATAATCATCTGAGGCAGGAGGAATCATCTACATTAGGATCAAAGCAACATCTTGGGGCTTCATACTGGGACACCGCCAGTTGTACAAATAGTATTGCAAATTTCCGTCGCCGGGCCCAAATTTCAATGGCCTCAAGAATGTGTTGTTCTCCATCAAATCGAGGGCATTATAGACATCCATTTGTATGTTTTTGGCTGAGATAAGGGCATCATTGATCAGCTCCAACCAGGGGGTTTTGGTGGAAATATTATAGAACGAATAGGCTCCACGCAGGGTTTTGTGCACCGGATGATGCATCACAGACGAGGGCAAACAATAGAAACTTGTTAGATCGGTTATATTGCCTTTGTCATCCTCGACAATGAAGCAATCGATAATGCCCTCCTTGGGTGTGAACCAATGACGGAACTCCTCCTTGCTGAACACAGGACACAGACTGAACTTTTTCATGTATTCATCGAATAGCTTAAGAGCTTTGTCCATATCTTTGGGTTCGATGCGGCGATAACCTTTAGTCTTGGGTTGATCGGGTAGTTTGTACAATTTTATTGTACGCTGCATTGTCATGTTTCGGGCCAAATGCGAGAACTTGACCTCGATAAGTTTCTTTGGATTCAAGGAACGATGCCAGTAGCGACACGTCGCCACCGGTTTGGGCAGAACCACACCAGCCGTATAGGCAGCCTGGAAGATGCCCGTCAAGTTGACACGCCTCGTTATTTCCCTAATTAATACTGGGGCCACACGCTTGCTACGCAGCTTCTTGTGGACACACAAGAAATTGATTTCCACCACCTTAATAACCTTATCATAAGCTCTCAGATTACTGGGTATGGCCGAGATGAATCCCACCAGGCGGCCCGATTTCACAACACGCACTCCCAGATGCCAGTCACGTTTCCAGCCAGGCGATTGCAGAGACCATTTGAGAAATTCGGGTTGATAGTCAAAGCGAAACATGGCATCGTCATCCTCCACATAGTTCTCATTAAGCAGTGTATACAATTCGGTTAGATCGCTACTGTTATTCAAGTCCAAGGTGTCCCATTTGAAACCTTCGGGTAGGGCATACGGATCCGGCCGTATTTCTGAAATATCCTTGTCTGGTTCAATGCATTCATTTGTCGTAATCTCTTCGTAGAGTTTAGGCACTGGTTGGGTTGACCAAAAGGCAAATTTTGTCTGGCGACTTTGGCCAGAGACGACATCGGAAACGGCCTGCAGCAGGTCTTGTCTGTTGAGCAGATCTGAAAAATTAAACAAAGAGAATTTGTTATTATTTTTATAAAAAATGAAAGAGATTTTGGAAAACATTCTGAAAATCAAAGTGGAAATAAAACCAAGAAAACTATTAATTAAAAGGGGGCCAAGTTCTTTTTATAGCCCACACCACCAGGTGGTCAGGGTATTATGTCTTTGAAGAAGGAAACGTGATAGACCCATAGTTACTTTTGAGGATTTTCATAGAAACACTTTCTGAGTCCATTTATGCATGTCAATCCGTCGTCCGTCTGTCCATTAATTCCTGTAAACAAAATGCCGGTCGCATTTATTATCCGATTGAGATGAAATTTTCCAAACAATACTTGTTTGGCCCAAGGTCGAACCCTATTGAAATTGGTGATAATCGGATCAGATTTAGATATAGCTCCCATATATCTTCAACCGATTTCGGGTGAACCAAATGGTCAATTTAAGTCCAAATGACCTGAATTTTGGTATATCCCACCGAATTCAGTCTAGAAGCAAGTACATCAAATTTGGAGAAAATCGGTTCAGATATAGCTATAGCTCCCATGTATATGTTTCATCCGATTTGGTGTTTAGGGTCCCTCAGAAGCGTAATATGCATTCGACAACAATGGTATTTAGTACCAGATATCAGATACAGCCCAGAAATACTTCTGCCAAATTTGATCAAGATCGGTTCAGATTAAGATATAGCTCCCATGTATATCTTCATGCGATATCAGGTTTACTGTGCTCCAAATGGCCAATATCAGCCCCAATGGACTGAATTTTTGCTATTCCGACTGAATTCAGTCTAAAAGCAAGTATATCAAATTTGGAGAAAATCGGTTCAGATATAGCTATAGCTCCCATATATATGTTTCATTCGATTTGGGGCTTAAAGTCCCCCACATTCGTAACATGCATTCGACAGCAATGATATTTGGTACCAGTTATCAGATACAGCCCAGAAATACCTCTACCAAATTTGATCAAGATCGGTTCAGATTTGGATATAGCCTCCATGTATATCTCTATCCGATATCAGGTTTATTGTGCTCCAAATGGCTAATATCAGTCCAAATGGACTGAATTTTGTTACATCCGACCGAATTCAATCTAGAAGCAGATACATCAAATTTGGAGAGAATCGGTTCAGATCTAGCTATAGCTCCCATATATATACTCAACCGATTTCGGGTTAATTGTGCTCCAAATAGCCAATATCAGCCCAAATGGGCTGAATTTTGGTACATGCCACCGAATTCTGTCTAGAAGCAAGTACATCAAAAAGTCGCTTCAGATATAGCTATAGCTCCCATATATGTTGTTCATCCGATTTGTTGTTTAGGGGCCATTTCAAAATGATTCTACTATTATTGAAAATAAGGCAATGTAATATTTTCTTTTTGTCTCAAAGGACAATTTACAACTGCTTCAATGCTGAAGACACTCTACTATGAGGGGGTGGGTGTTAGAAAAAGAAAAATAACCACCCTTAGATAATCAAAATGGTGGGTATGGCAGCTGAAGCACGCAATAAAGAAAGCCTACTTTTGTATACCGCCCGCATGAACATAAAAACTATTTAAGGATTCTTATGTCTTTCTTTTTTGTTTTAGAAATATCAATAAGTTGAACGTCCGTCCCCATTCACAGCCACGCCCTTTGACCCATTATTCCACTTAAAAAAAAAGTTTTTAAATTATTTTTCCAACTCACTCAAATCGGCAGCTAAATTTACAATTGCAGGAGGTTTCTTTTTCTCGGTATCATTATCGCTAGCTGCCGCTTCCTTAATGCCCACCAAGTTTTTATTTGCACCATCATCGCCGCTTACATTTTCCGACTTTTTGCTGTTTGCACTGACGACATCGCCTTCCGTGGATTTCTTTTCTAGCGTCGTATCCTTATTTTCATTTGTTTCGATTTCTTTATTGGGCATTTTTCAACACAAATATACTATACTTAATAAAATTCGTGAATTGTTATTTTTTTTGTTCGTTCTAGGTATATTTAGTTGCTTCTTTTTATTTGCATGTATGTATTTAGGTTAGGTTTTTTTTCGGTCTTTGGTCCAAACAGAGTTGCCAGGCTGGGGGTTATTTGTCTGTTTGTTTTTATCGGTTAGTAGGGATCTGTAAATCTAAATTCGTTTCAACGGACAAAACAGGATTGCCAAAAGCAAGACAATTGAATTGATATGATAGCTGTGTTCCAGCATTTGATGAAGTGTAAAGCTATTTTTACATTTGGTACAGTGGTCTTTAAAGATTAAATTGACGTAAATTTATGCAAATTATCAAAAAAAAATTTATGATTGATTGGAAAATTTTCAAAAAATGTGTACAAATTATTGGGTCTGTTATTTTTTAACTTTTTTGTTTTCCATGAAACTTATTTTCTGGCCTAATTTGATCGTATGTGCAAAATTCCATACTATTTGGGCCGATATTACACGTTTGGTGCACAAAAAAGCAATTCAAAAGAAGATATATATGGGAGCTATATTTAAATTTCGACCGATTATGTCCAATTTCAATACCGTTCGTCCTTGGGTCAAACAAATTATATGTGGAAAATTTCATCTGGATCGGGCAATAAATGTGACCTCTACTTTGTTTACAAATATATACGGACAGACGGACCGACATGCATAAATCGAATGTTATTCTAGGCAGATCATCAAAAGGAACTATGGGTCTATCACGTTTCCTTCTCCATGTTACAAACAAATGCACAAAGACATAATACCCTGACCGCCTTGTGGTATACCCTGCACATTAAAGGTGGGAATACATATAGCACTTATTTGGCTGGCTTAAGAGTCTAAATACATAAGAAGCTTGAAGTCATGGCTAGGCATATTTTGTGACATTTCACAAATGGATTACAGAGCCGCACTGAAATCCTGCGTCGTTGTCCATTATAATTTGACATTAAAATGCCTAGCCATGACTTCAAGCTTGTTATGTACTTGCACCTTAAGTCATCGACTGGCTTCTTCGGAAATGAACAAAGGAGCCTCCAAATGATGATTTGATTTGATGATTTTAGCAACATTATTCACCGGAATCGTTTCAAATTTCGTATTAGGAGATCTTAATGGTTACTACAACATTTGAAAAAAAATTCTTATGCAGATCCACGTTTTCGTATTGCCCTCATATAACGGTACCTGCGGATATTCGTATTTTCATGATTTCGGCGACATTATTTAGCGGAATTATTTAAAATTTCATATTTAAAGTTCGTAATGGGTACTACAGCCTATGACAAAAATGTTTGTATGCAGGTCAACGTCTTCGTATAGCCTCCATATAGAGGTACCTCCCGATATTCGGTATTTTCATGATTTCAGCGACATTATTTACCGGAATTATTTCAAATTTCATATTTGAAGTTCGTAAATAAAGGGAAAATCGGTTATCGTAGTAGAAACTTTTACATTCTTGCTGTTCTGGATTTCAATTATTTCAACTTTGGTTGCAAAATGAATGGATATTTTCGTTGATTGTTGTGTCCCACGATTTTAGATTGAATATTATGGAAAACCGCAAAATTCCATTCTTGTATCGCGGGTTTTCCCCAATATATGAATTTTGTTAAAAAAATAAATAAATAAACAAAACCAACTGTTGCATATTTAAAAGTCTAGCACAGAGTTGTATTTTTTCTAGTTTCTTTGATGTTGAGAAACCTTTCTAATTTAGCCATGCTTTGCCTTATTAATTTTTACATTTTACTTTTTCATAGACAAAAAGGCATTGATAGCTTTTGTAATACTTCTGACTGATCTTCAGCCTAAAATCGACAATTTACACACTCATTGAGCCAAAAATTGGGCTGACCATAAAATAGAATAAAAGCATGGTTAGTTTACTTGACAGAACAGGCATCTTGATAATGAAATTCAATAATATGCAAGCGTTTTTTGTTGTAAGAGGAAATTACGCTGAGCTTCATTAAATAATAGCTATAAAATCACCCTTAACACATCACATTTTACATTTTTTGAACGAACACGAACACAGTTATCATGAATTTATCGAAATCGGTTTGTTTACATCGAACTCTATCGATAACGGTGCTTTATGGAAATGAGATACAATAAAGATAACACACCAGATAACGCAGTATTTATTGACATTGCACTTACTAAATTTTATTTTAATTTAGTTGTTTTGTGATAACAAACATTCCCCCTTTAACTTAGAAACCAATTACTTAGTTTAGTGGCAAAGGTATAAGGAGATTAGCACATACCCCCAACTGCTAGCGTATAAAAATACAATTTGCAAGTTTTGGAATTTCAAGTACTTTGTACTTTGAACTTAAAATAATTGACAAAACATTTATCCATCGTTTTTTTTTTTAGCTTTTTAGGTAAAAAGTTTTGAAAAATGTCTCTCTCCCGGCCAGTATATTCCTTTTTTGGTTTCTATTTGGAACAATTGTTCAATCATCCAGTACGCACAAAATCCATTACAGCGTAAGTAGTAATTATTTTATGCACCACCGGCTTTAAAGAATATTTTTATATTTTATAATTGTATATTTTATATAAATTACCCTGTTTAGCTCTGCTCTTGCTGCATCGGCCAATTACACCTCACAATGCATGGCCGGCAAGGGAAAAGTTAATCAACAAAGTGTTTTGTCATATGCCTTGTTTGGGTAAGTTCCATGTCGCCTGATTGCCCGATATCTGAAACAATGTAATTTGATTTATTGTTTCTTTATAGTTTAATCTTCGGTGGCAGTGTACCGCATTACTTCTATAAGACAGTTGAACGTTTGTTCCACGAAGATGTCAAATTCAGGAAATTTTTCCAATTCCTTTCGGAACGTTTGGTATATGCCCCAATCTATCAGGCATTGTCGTTGTATTTCCTTGCACGTTTTGAGGTATTTCCAACGTTTGAATTGGATATGATAAAAAAATCATTTTAATTTTTTCATTTACTTTCAGATGAAATCTCACAATGTTGCAATGTCAAATTTAATGAAATTATATTGGCCACTGTTGAAGGCCAATTGGCAATATCTTTCTTTGGCAGTTTTTCTAAATATTTACTATGTTCCTCCCATGGTAAGTGGGGTTTTTCCACACTATCTCTTATTTTTGAAAGCCGTTTATGATGCCCCAATAATTCATCTTGTTTTTTTATCTTTTAGTTCCGCACCGTCACAATGAGTTTGGTTTCGTTTATATGGGTTGTTTACATCGCACACAAACGTCGCCGCTTCCAAGAAAAACAAGAAGCTGCCGCCAAAGCCAAGTGAATTTCACAAAATTGTTGCATTTTTGAGAGCATATTTGGAGTGGGTTAATGCATATGTCCAACGATGGTTCGGTCACAAACTGTAATTAAGATGGTTACACCAATTTTAAATGTAATCAAAATATTTTATTAATACTTCCTTTATTGTAAACATGCAGGAGAATCAAATTCAATTGTTTTCTAACAATACATTTTTTATATACTAAAACAAGCAGAGTTTTCAATTTTATACTACCTACAGTATTTTATCTGCAGTTCAACACCAAAGTCCCAGGAGTCCCAAAATATTACATGTTTCCTTGTACTTACATTTTTTATTTAAATATGTCCCTAACGTATGGTCGGTGCTACATTGTTTTGTTTTGAAGACGAAAAATTAAATTTTTTTGAAGTTCATGCTTCAAAACATATCAAAACGCAGGCTTCCCGAGGTTCTATCTCTTTATTTAACATAACACAAAGCTAAACACAAATGTTACGACTGTAATTGCTTTTTGTTAATTTGCTTGCAATGCACATTCTAATGTTTAATAAAAATTTCAACTATAAAAACGCGTCATATGTAATAACGGCCTTATATCGTGAACTAGCCAAAAAGTCAATTAAACCTCATTCAAATGAACTTTGGCAACCCTTTAATATTTCGTTAATTTCCCTTTTCATAGTTGCACTAATACTGCGTTTACATATGATATGATTAAAGAACAGAAAGAAAGTATACTCAAAAGAGGTAGAGTAGCTTCGCTTGGCAGAAAGTGGTGATCAACCGAATTAGGGTTTTCTCTAAACACAAATGTTATATCTGTAAACGAACTTTGGCAACCCTTTAATATTTCGTTAATTTCCCTTTTCATAGTTGCACTAATACTGCGTTTACATATGATATGATTAAAGATCAAAGAAAATATACTCAAAAGAGGTAGAGTAGCTGCGCTTGGCAGAAAGTGGTGAGCAATCGAATTAGGTTTTCTCCCATGAGAAAACATTCGTTGCCCAGCAACTGCTAAACAAACAAAATGATCGTGTTTACTTGCCAAAGAGGTCAGCTGAAAATGTGCACCTTCGGTTAGCCACCAGAACTCAAGCGCTCAAGACCGCCATAACAGCCGATGGTCGCTCTCCGATCGTATTAATCGTCCGTGGCATCAGAATAAATGCCGAATATTATCGCGCAGACCTTGGACATTCCAAAAGGACTCAGCACCATTGCACTCAGCACGCGCTCCACCCAAGACTGGTTACAAAATGAGGTTCCTCCCTTCATTTCCAGCGCACAATGACCACCAAAATCTCCGAATACCAATCCGTTCGACTATTGTGTATGGAGTATTTTGGAAAGCAAGGTAGGCACTAAAAAATACCAAAATGTCGATCACCTCAAGCAAGCGCTTCGCCGGGAATGGGCCAAAACACCGCAGAGCAACATTCAGGCAGCGTGTGTCGCCGATTTCATTGGCCGATTGAAGGCCATAATTCGTGCCAAAAATCTAAACTTATTCTAAAATTTGATGCTATTTCCGACATTTTTTGCTTTCATTCAATAAAATTTGAATAAAATAGTTAAAAGTTATGGTTTTTGACTTTGTTGCAGTTTTTTATCTCACCTTGTATGTTGTTAGGGATATCGTACAGTTTTTTTGAAACCAAGCTCTTGTAATTGGGACAATTCTCGGTTTATAAGAAAAAGGGGTAAGAGGAACGGAATAGATAAATCAAAAAAAATTGTTCGTACTGGCTATTCCGCTTGTGTCTTTATTTTAAAATATTGTTAATTTTTTTTGTAATTGGTCTAATATTTAGGTTAATCTGGATAAAGATTTGTATATAAACGTACTTGTCATTTTGCCTGATAATAACGATAGAAAACCTTTAATCGATAGCTATTCCAAAAAAAGCTGCAATATCGATAGTATCTATATTGCTATCGATATTCTGCCAGCTCTAGTTGTGTCTGTGTTCGTGGGTACGTATGTTGACGGAGGAAAATTTTCTAATTTGCTAAAAATTAATGGCAAAAACTTTAAAAACATATTGAAAACTTATTGCAAAACCTCAAATAGCTAGTGCAAACAAAATTTTTGGCAAATGCAATTGAATTGCAATGAAAATTCCAAGTGAAATTTGGCTTTAAAAAATGTATATGTACATGCATTTTTCTCTTAATATAAAAAAGTGAATGTATGTGTGTATGTATTAAAAATGTACCAACGACAACGACGACGACGATGAGGAGAAGAAATAAAGCAAGCTATCATCCATTAGAAATTTTTTTTGCGACGTTAACGCCGTCGTTTGTGAAAAGAGGTTTTTTTTTTTCTGCACTACTACAACACTGTGTGTGCTTGCATAAAAAAAAATTGGTGATTTTGAAATACAATTTTTATTGGGTTTGCTCCGGTTGAAATTGAAAAAAATGCGAGATGAAAAAACAATGTAGAAAATTTGACAAAAAATAAAATGTGTATGGCTTATGCAGGGAAATGGATGGATGGATGAATGACTGACTTGTTGGCTGGCCAGTTAGTTGCTTGTTCTGGGAGGGGCATTATTATTTTTTCAAATTCTGCAATAATCAATAAATGCAAGCAAAGTTGGTGTAAAGAGGTGCTACATATCTGCGTATGTATGTGCTGCGCTGCTGCGTATATGTGATATTGTGCCTACATAGATGGGGGGAGTACATATATTTTAATTGTGAGAAAGAACCAAAAAAAAGAGTAAGTGGGGTTTCAAATGGTGGGGGTCCTGTTATTAGAGAGAGAGAAGATCACACCGTATGCCGCCACAAACGACACCGTCGTCGTCGTCGCCGCCACCGACGAGAGTGTGTATTTGCCGTGTGAATGGATGATTGTAGTGGAATTTGTATATTATGATGGCTTGCTGCTGCTTTTGTTAAGCCGAAAGCCGGCAATTTTTTTTCTCGTGTGTGTGCGGCTGTGTTGTGTTTTATTTTTGTGTATTGAATGTTGTGTGTGGTTGGGTTTGCTGGCTGGTTGGTTGGTGGGCATCAAATCGCAAATCTGCTCAGAGGTGTAACAACGTCCCAGTAAAAAATTGGATCATCCAACGATTAATCGTAGGACGCTCCTTTTCGAGCAATGGAGTACTCCTTAAATCTCCGACTCTCTTGCATTTTATACTCTTTTTTAACATTGCATGTCCTAGGAGGCGAGCACTCCTTTTGAGCTCCCATTGGATGACAGACGGAGTACTCGTTTTCATCTCGGAAAGGAGGACAAAGGGAGTAATCTTTGTTATCTCCTGAAAGAGCATAGACGGAGTACTCGTTTTCATATCGGAAAGGAGGACAAAGGGAGTAATCTTTGTTATCTCCTGAAAAAGCATATAGGGAGTACTCCTTTTGATCTCGGAAAGGAGAATCAAGGGAGTAATCTTTGTTATCTCCTGAAAGAGTAAAAGAAAGTAAAGAAGTAAAAGAAAAGAGTAAAATAAAGAATATATATTTTATCATTTATTTTTAACGAAAAAAAAAACAAATAATTCATTTTTGTACTATAATTTCTTATAATTAAAAAAACATATTAAATACTTTATTTATTTAGATTTTAGGCTGTAGGTTTGCCGGTAAAATGTTGCCTTACATTTGCGAAAGGCCAACTTAAAAGATTTTTCAAATTCAGGATAAGTTTCGTAGGTGTCTCTGAGTGATTCTGCAAAAATAAAGGAAAAATAAACATCATGTACATATTATTTAAAACACGTTATAAAATCAAGCTATTACCGAAATAAAAAAGTTAAACAACCGATATTTGTTTATGGCTGTCTTATTTTTAGCTCCATCCCAATTTACCCGAAGCAAAATATTGTCACCAATCATTGCATGTAACGCCTTTTCTATTTTGTCTTTGCCAAATTTTAGTTTCATATATGATATCTGAAAATAATTAAAGATAAATATAATTAGCTTTTAGTACCAAATTCACTTAAATTATGCATTAAAAACTCTGGCTTACCACTTCTGATTCAGGCTCGTTATTAACTAATTGTTCTGCCGAATTTAATTCCTCTAGTGAATTTATTGGAAAAATTTTGAGATCCTTGCTAGTTGGGCGTATGTGTTTAACGACCTGTTCTAACAAAATTGTCTGTTTACACATAATTTTCTTTAAAGCTTCGACTTCAGTTTGAAGGAGATCAATTTTGTTTTCCAATTTTTTATTGGTGTTTTTTGTTTCATTGTTTGTTTCTAGAAATGAACATAAAATCAAATAATTACTATGATAAAAAATATAAAAAGAGCTATGAGTTAACATTACCTGCGACATTATTCGGTGTGCTTTGTACAGTTTCATCCGTAAAAACTGATTGAGTTTGGAATATGTTCGCATTAAAATTCATGGTTCTTAAGGTAGAAAAATAGTTTGAAATATAGTTTAAATATTAGTATTTACTAAATTTGACAGTGGTGTAGAATAGGAATAAATACAAAATATTCCCCATCAGGTACGCAAAATATCTTGCAATATATGTCACGCATGTTAATTTTCTCTCGGTGGATATTTAGTGTTTTCGCCTTACAAATTCCTAAACACTTTTTAGAGTCCACTGGGTACTGAAACAAGCTTACTGCATCTGTAAATGCGTTACCGACTACGTATTCTTCGCCGCTATCTACCAAGAAACCATATACTTTAATTGGAACCATACTCATAGTGAAGCAAAAATTGTCAGGAGATTTTCCGGATAAGAAATATGTGTCGAACTTGTATCTCATAAACAAGTTGTTTCTGTGTTTTTGCCCAAGTGGTAAGAATTTAGGATCATTTGTTTTCAAAAGCAAATGCCGCTCCATGCATCGATTATTTAGCTGTTGGCTAATGTATGATGGTTTCCGACAATCTTTTTTTAAGGTTTGCAAAAAGTTCTCATATTTATATGATGAAAAATTTTCTACATTTCCAAAGTTTTCCACGCATTTCGCCAAATGTAGTAAATTGTGCACGTTATAACTGATCTTATCACTTCCATATATCAAGGCAAAATCGGCAACAAAAGCTTCCATTAGTTGTTGAACGCATTGCAAATTCTTATGACAATTTGAAGGACACGAAACCATCCGATATGCTGTATGTAATAGTAAAAAGTGTGTATATAAATCCTCATGCAATATGTTTTTAAAAATAATTATTCCCGTGTAAAGCACAACTTGCCGGAATTCCTTTGCCTTCCACCTGCATACCTCGTCAA